CAGTACCACCGCTAGTCATCACATAGAGTTAGAAAGGATATGCGTCTACTAATCTGTAGATGAAATCTCATAGTTCCTTGTAGGTGAAATGAGAGCTTGATATATATATATATACATACACACACACACACACACAAATATGAAGTGACTTAAGTGAGAACAATCGTTATTGTGAGAAATGAGATCAGTTAATATGAACTATTGAATCTTATATTAACGGTCAAGATAACTGCAAACGACTATTTGAAGTGATTATATGACTCTTAACTAACTTTTAATCTTAACCATCCATGTATAGTTGTATGACCAGATTTATTGTTCTCACAATTGTTATATGAGGACTGTTCTCATTCAAGTCATTCTACATATATATATGTATATATTTCTAGCAAAATCTTAAGTCATATTTCTAAAATTTTCCTTTTTTACAGGATGATGAGTGATTATACGGTGGAGACGATCAATGATGGGCTCAGCGAATTCAATGTGGAATTTCATGGTCCAAAAGAAAGTATGCTGACATTCTAGAGCTAACCTGGTCTTTTTTCTCTGATGAAACTGCACATTTATATGAAGAATGGCATACTTCTCGAAAGCGTGCATAAATTACTTGAACTTTTTGCTTTCCCCTTTCTCAAGGACAAAAAAAATATGATGGCAAACAACCTTAATTAGGGACTCATTCTCTATTATAGCATAATTTTCCTTCTAATATTTGCATGCTTTACCTCATCTTTCAGCTTGATATTGGTTTCCTTACCTTTAAAAAGGTCACGAGTGCAACCACTGATCACTCATTTTTAAACTATTTGGTTGTTCCTTGATTTTATATATATGTGATTGTTGCAGGCCTTTATGAAGGTGGAGTTTGGAAAGTTCGTGTTGAGCTTCCTGATGCTTATCCATACAAATCCCCCTCTATCGGCTTTGTGAACAAAATATTCCACCCAAATGTTGATGAGTTGTGAGCACTTGATACATTATTAGTTGATCTTCTTTTTCTTTTCTTTGGGGGTGGGGAATTTTCTTGTGTAAGATGTAGTTTGTGCATTGGTTTGTGTTGGCAGTTAATTTATACTGGTTTGGGTTGGCAATTGATAGAATTATGACGTCACTCGATCCGTGTAGCCGATCCCACATAGTGGGACTAAAGATTGATTATTGTTGTTACAATATTTGTCATATGAAGTGCTTACTGTCCACTATTTGTAATTTTTTAACCAATCTCTATTAGGTTTTTTGCCGTTGCTTTGGGATTTTGTATAAGAGGGAAATGGAATTTCCTAAAAGTATTATGTCACAGCAACGGCCTGCTATTGATAGGAATTTGTCCATGCATGAACTATGGCTGATTGTGCTTTCTACATTTCATCAACTGCAGATCCGGCTCTGTGTGCTTGGATGTCATTAACCAATCATGGAGCCCAATGTTTGGTAATTCAGTTATATGTTGTTCATAGTAGAAGTTTGAAGTATCCAGTGTCTAGAATCTCTTATTATTTCATCATCTTATGGTATGTGCATTTTGTCAAACATGATTTATGATAGAACATTATGACGTCGTTCGATCCATGTAGCCGACCCCATCTAATTGGATTAAGGCTTGGTTATTGTTGCTTGTCTTATCTATGTACATAGGCATGGTGGTACATAATTTCGTATTTACATTTAAAAGGATTTCCACCTTCATTAATGACCCTTCTCATTATCCTATTAATCTGGTTTGATTGTATATGCTTTTATAATGACCAAGGTTTCTGTTGTTTTTCAGATCTTCTAAATGTATTTGAAGTTTTTCTTCCACAACTGTTGCTTTATCCAAATGCTTCAGATCCTCTCAATGGTGATGCAGCGTCATTAATGATGAAGGATAAAAAGTTGTATGACCAAAAAGTTAAAGGTAAGCATATTGTTTGTGTTGGGCTACTTTTCTAATAACTTTAAACTCAGCCTTTGGACCAGTGCCAATAACTGATTATAATAATTTTGACATGAAAGGCTTAATTTCTTGGGAAGAAACCGACCCAGATTTTGGTCCTTCATTTAGTATAATTTTCTAGCACCACCATCCTTATGCTCTAGATGTGCCTAACACTCTCTCTTGCTCTTTTGAGCTTATATTTCCCCCTTTTTGTCAACACTTATATCATGCAATGCTTTACTACTACATATTTTGATCAAAGGCTGAATAATTCAACGAAGCAAGACCCAACACAGTTATGATAGTTGGAAAAGGCTTTGTTGTTAAAGCTTTTACTCACTTTGGTGATCTTTCTGTCTCGAAAGGAATAATCTTCAACTGTTAGTTGGGGGCACCCTTAGTACACATCAACTGGATAATTCAAATCATGATAATTTCTGTACTGAAGACTACTACATCTATATCTGAATATTATGATTTTTTTTGAAGAAAAAAAATCTGATCATTTAGGGTCTGTTTCTGAGTTGAATTTTGGCGGGATAGAGAAGACTTCAGAGCTATGAAGTACACTTATGAGATGACTCTGAAGCCTTTCCTTTCCCTTCCTAACCCTCCAAAACTCAACTCGCAAACAGACCCTTATATTGTATTTGTGAGTTGCGTTTTGGAAGGAAAATGAAGGCTTCAAAGCTGTTAGATACACTTGTGAGATAGCTATGAAGCCTTACCTTTTCTAAAATCTAATTTGCAAATGTTTATCTTAGTGATTGGGGGGTTATTTTGTGATGACAAAAAGATATGTAAAATATTGCTATGGTCTTTGTGTGGAGACAGAGTACTGTGAGAGGTATGCTAAGAAGGAAAACATTGCCAACTCTACAGCTGATGAGGATAGTGATGAGGAAGACATGAGTGAAGAGGAAAGTGGATCAAGTGATGATGACATTGCTGGCCATGCTGATCCTTAAATGTCTTTAGTTTGGATCTAAATCTTTTAAAGGTCCATCTAGTACCAATAATAGCACTATTAAATGTTTACTTCAATTATAAGTTGTAGCTTTATTTACTATTCTTTGTGGCTGCAAAATTGGACTCCTTGTTGTTGAACTGAATTGATTAGGGTATATTCAGTAGATGGAAATTGAAAGTAATATCCATGTTTATTTCTAAGTTGTTCTGGCCTAGTGGTCTCCCTCTCTTTTCATGATCTCTTGGCCTATGGATCCTTTTAGGGTATATTTTGGTTTCTTTTTCTTTGTTACAGGTATATCTACAGTTATTTATAATCCACTACACCTACTACTAGAGGTGTCAAAACGGGCTACCCGTGCGGGTTCGGGCTAGCCCGCATCGGGTTCGGGCTAAACTGGGCCGGACTAAAAAGCCCGGATACAATTTATGTATATGAAAATGTAGCCTAAATTCGCCCTAAGCGGGTTTCGGGTTGTGGCAGGCCGGCCCGTATAATATTAAAAAAATTAAATTTTAACGTATATAATATATATATATATATATATATATAACATTCAATATTAATGCATACTTTTTTTAATACAATTGTTATACCCAATGCAACCAAATTTATAGATATAATGTCATGTGTATAAGTTAAGAGGTGATGTCAAATCTACGTATATGATTCATAACGTAACTCATTTATTAAATATCTTATTGTTATTAGAATCAAAATCTCTAACACAATATAATTTGTAACTTCACTTCAATATAATAAATGGATACACTAACAAATAATATCACTTTGGTTTGTAGTAATGATAGTATAGATTGAAATTCAGAATGAATTCTATGTGTCGAATTATAATCACCATCATAATAATTCTTTACTTTGTTATAGATATCTTTTGTATGCTTTTTACCAACATTTTTATTGTGAACTGTTATGTTAAATTTAGTTGTGAGAAATTCTTTGTGGTAAACAATTAAGTTGTGATTCGTTGTAAAAGTTATTTTCTTTATTATATTTTTGTTGTATAAGTTAAATCTAATTAAATATACAATTAGGAAAATAAAAATGGAATCTATATGGTTTAATGTTCTCATTTAATTTGATACACTATTTTGCTAATGTGCTTAAAAAGATATTAAGCAAAATAAGAAAAATAATATAATGTTTAATTTGATAACATTATTGTAATTTATAATATTTATGTTATAGATATTACTCTATTTGTTATTCAAAGTTCATAACACAATATTTACCATCTCTTATCTATTTTTTATTATAAGTTATTTTGTAAAATAATTTTCACTTTAAGCTTATTACCAAGCCAAATGTCACAAATTTTTTTTTAAAATAAATAAAAAACGGGTAGTCCGAGCCCGCCCAGGTAAGCCCCGGCCCGAGCCCGGTTTTAATATAGTTTGGCCGGGCCGAGCTAAAAAGCCTGAATTCACTAAAAAGTGTCAAATATGATACCAAAGCCCTACAAAACTCCGGGTTGTGGCGGGTCGGCCCGCACTGGCCCACCCATTTTGACAGCTCTACCTACTACTATAACAGAATTTAGAACAACCTTTTCTTTTTATTTCGGTCTTTGTGACCGTAAGCTTAACATAACATTTAGGTTGTTCCATAGTAATCATAAGTTTATGAATTCAAATATTATAAACAGTCTTTCCGTTTGTATGATTAGACTGTATATTAGGCTGCCCCAGTATATAAATATAGATACTTCACTCAAACCATAAAAAAAAATACAACTGAAATTATATACCCTGAAACTTTATCCAAGTGAGACAATATGTTATACTAATCATTTAATAAGGAGTTTGGCTCCTCTCCTGTAATGGAGAGGCCAATAAGACATATTGCGACACATGTAATAAATAAAATGAAGGGCTCAGATTTAAAATTGTATTAGTTTAATTTAAAAAAAAAATAGAAAGACATGAAACCAGAAGGCCTCACTCATCTCCCATAGCTTCTTCATCTCTATCTTCACTAAGAACCACCTAGAAACACATGTCTAAATATAGAAACACAAGTAAACAAATCAACTCTCTACCAGAGAAGGTAGCACCGCCACTGTATTTGATTACTGAAATACTACAGATGCAGATGGAACTCCAGAAGCGGCTTCATGAACAACTTAAGGTACCTTATTAATACTTCAAATTTATCTTCTCTATATAAGGAAGATGGTTGCAAGCTTTAAGTTTTATAATGTTCTGATATTTATAACTACTATGCAGATTCAAAGAGAGTTACAGATTCAAATTGAAAACTAAGGGAAGCGTCTTCATATGATGTTTGAGAAACAGATAGAGAAGGACAAGTCTTCTGCTTTGATATCAAATACAGTGGCGGTGCTACCTTCTCCGGTAGAGAGTTGATTTGTTTACTTGTGTTTCTATTTTTATATGTGTTTCTGGGTGGTTTATAGTGAAGATGGAGATGAATAAGCTATGAGAGATGAGTGAGACCTTCTAGTTTCATGTTTTTTTTTTTAAATTAAACTAATATAATTTTAAATTTGAGCCCTCCATTTTATTTATCACACGTGTCGTAATTTCATGCCTCACTAGCCTCTCCAGGAGAGGAGCCAAACTCTTTAATAAGGGTGCTACAAATGATTAAACAAAGGTAAGTATAGAGTATTGACTTAAATCTAAAATTGAATTAAGGATCGCATGCTTAAGAACCCAAGTCTCTTCTACATGAATAAATACAAGGTAGAAAAAATTGAGTGAGTGAAGAAAAGCATGGCCTAAGAAAATATCAAAGAAAAGTTTGTGAGATACTTTTTTAAGTGAGGCTTTCAGTGCTGAGATCAAAGTTTACCTTCATAAAAGACAAAACTATTTTGAGAAAAAGATGAACTTATTATTATGATTTTTTTATATCTTATGTTCATGGACATAAAACTAGGCACGGATAAGTTAAAAATTAATATGAAATGCAAGTCTTAGAAATAAAGAGGAAAAAGGATATATAAAGGATGATACTTAATAAATTGGTGAAAACTTAAAAAGCATAACTTTTTCTAACATAAAAGTGCTACAACTAAGGCTAAGCTAACTATGACAAACATGAAAAGATCAATTAGCTAAGTCATTAGACATCAATTATGTAAGTGGCAAATATTTTGACTGGGGGAGCTAACTTAGTATTGCTGCTAATATAACTGAAGCTATGGCATATATGCATGAGGAGAGTGGAAAAGTGGAATAGTTCATCGTTATATAAAATCAAGCAACATCTTATTTGGCAAGAATATGGATCCATGCATAGGTTAAATAAAAATAATATAAGTAACATGACTTAATATTACTGTTTTGTGTCCGCCGACCGGTTGAACCGGTAAATCGGTAAATCGGTCCCAATTCTGGTACGATACAATAATTATACCGGTCATGCAATTATACCGGTAAAATCCAGTCAAAATCAGTAAAAACTGGTCATACCGATCGATTCTCAATTGAACCGTACCAGTTAGACCTGTCAAAATGGGTCGGGTTAGCGGGTCAGCCCGCTAAAGCCCGAAAAGGTATAGGGTTAGTACTAAATTTTGAGTATTTTACTTAAACTGGACTTTTTAGCCCGGTCCGGCCACAATAAATTCGGGCTCGGGCTGGGCTTACCCGTTCGGGTTCGGACCATCGACTACTCATTTTCTTCCATCTCCTTTAGCTTTTCAATTTCTCATCCCATTCTAGTCTTATACGAAGTTGGAGGGCCACATCAAAGTTTAGAAAATGTATATTAATTTATTTATTGAACGTGAGCTTCTAATTCTCAAATAACGTGATGTTGTTAGTATCATACACATTAAATAACCTTTTCCAAATAGCCCCTTAATGCTTCTATAAAATTCATTGAGTTTATAAGAAACTTTAACAAATTATACTAAACCAGTTGAGACTTGAGAGATCTATATACTTTAGGCTTCATTTGGATGGAAGGAGAGAATGAAAAGAGAGAAAAAGATGAGAATTATATGAGAAATAAAGTGAATTTTAATGTTGTTTGGTTGTATAGAAAAGGAATAGAAAGAAGTAAGTGTTTCTTTCCCACTCTTCCGTGAACAATAATTTATTATCCAAAATTATGTTTCAAATCATGTCCCGGATCGATGAAAACATTCATGTTAATTACAAAAAATATAATATTCATTACTTTTTATTTTTTTATTTCAACACCATTCCTCAGGGACATGATTTAGGACACAGTTTGAGATAACAGATCTTAGTCATTCTTCTCCTCTCGTTTTCTCCTCACTTTGGGAGAAAAATAAATTTGGTGGGTCCCACCACACTTTTCATTCTTTCTTCTCATTCATCCTCCTTAGCCAAAGGGGGGAAATTCATACTTTCTCTCTAACTTCTCTTCACTCCTTCTCTTTCTCCTCATTCAAAGACACCCTTAAACCAATTCAAGACATTTAAAGCATTTAAGTAGAAGATGCAACAAAAAAATGTCACAATTGTTTACTTTATTATATTTTTGTACGTAAATAATAAATAGGTTGTAAAATATTATTTAAAATTTTAAATATAAAATAATCTGGGCCGACCCACCATAGTCCGTTTTGGGCGGGTTTGGGCCTCACTTTTAGCAACATAAAATATAATCGGACTTTTTAACCCGAATCAAAAGTGGGCTAGCCCGAACCCATCCGGGTAGCCCATTTTGACAGGTCTAGTACCGGTCATACTGGGCAATTTTTATTTAAAATTAATTTTTAATGAAAATAAAAATAATAATTATTATTTTATTGATTTTTCAACATTAATGTTAATATATTATACATGTATATCTAACTTTACTGGTATGTGGTTTAATTAGTGAACCGGTTAAACCACTATATCATTGAACCAGTACTGCTATCGGTTTGATGACTAATACACTGACTTTTATTTTATTTAAGAGTGAATAATGATTAAAGATAATTGATATTGATTATATATTTTTTCACTTAATATTAAGTCATTATATTTGACTGAATTTTTTGTCATGTTTGGCATGTGAAGAAGAAATACACAGTGTATTGCAAGTAGTGAGAGTAAACACAACACCCTTTCTCTTCCACGTTCTCACCCTAGAAAACCCCAAATTACAGTGACAATGGAGTCACGCAATGACGAAAAAGCCCTTCCCACAGTTCGTGTCTCCAACATTCCTCAATCCGCCACCGCCAAAGAACTCCTCCAATTTCTCGAATCTATCTTCGGTCCTTCCTCTGTCTTCGCCCTCGAAATACGTTCCCACCATGAAAACTGGAACTCTCGCGGTTCAGGCCGAGTTCAATTCGAAACCCTAGAATCTAAATCCAAAGCCATTACTCTCTCCCTCCAAAACGACCTCGTTTTCATGTCCCATTATCTTCAGGTAACTGAATCCTACGGTGATATCATCCCTCGCCCTTGCATTCCCCGTAACAGGGTCTGTAACTCCGATTTCTACGCGGGTTTCATGGTCCGTGATCATCGCATGAGTGTTCTGGAATCGTGGGAAAGGGTTAAAGGTTGGGTTATGCCTGAAAGAAAAAGGGTTGACTTTTTGGTCTCACATGGTGGAAATTTTTACAAGCTTGAAATCATGTTTGATCACATTTTAGAGGCTCATGGTTATTCTTTGGGAGGAGATTCCAAAATCAATGCTATTGTCTTCAAGGTATATTTCTATTTTTAATCTAATCTTGCTTATTCAGGTTCTTATTACAAAATCAAGGTTTGTGATCATAGTGATTATGTATTAATGAGATTTTATTAGTGTTTTTATAAATAATTTGCATCTATATAAAATTTATGTTTTCTTATTAAATAATTTTGTGTTAACGTATCTGCACTATATCCTATTCTTGAGCCTCATATTCATACTGTATTGTATCTGTGTAGTGCTAAGTATGTAGGATTCTGAGGCTATGCATTTAAATTAGATGGTGTTTGAGCAGTTATTAATTATTGTGAATGGAATTGCTGGGTTTGTATAGTAAGAATACAAGAAAAGAGAAACTTTTATCATTTAAGAAGCTTAATTCTATTGAGCCTCTTGTTAGTGTCATCATTCAAGCGTGTGAATGAACTTTTCAGGACATAATATATTTCTTACAAACTAGTAATTTTATATGATTTGTCTATTCACTCAGTTTGCTGGTTCATTTATACAGGGTTATGATTTATTATATAACTATAATCTGGTTTTGACCTTTGTTAAGTGTCTCATTCTTATTTTACGTGATCCTTTTTGGTTCTGACCTTTTCAAAATTTCTTGCCTCTTTTCTTCACAGCTGAAATATGGGCCAAAGATCTATCAGAAAACAGCTGGGCCAAATATAGCAGCGAAGTTTAAAGCTGATAGGTACCACTTCTGCAAGGAGGATTTTGAATTTCTTTGGGTGCGAACAACTGACTTCTCAGCTACTAAGTCAATTGGTCACTCTACATCATTTTGTTGGGAAATTGAGGAAGAGTCATTTGCTTCAGATATTTTTAAAAGCTTCCCACATTACAGAGAAAATTTGGAAGGTCTAATTCTGGAAGACGGGGAAGAATTCTGTACTTCAACTGAAACTGTTTCATTTGCTTCAGATATTTTTAAAAGCTTCCCACGCTACAGAGAAAATTTGGAAGGTCTAATTCTGGAAGATGGGAAAGAATTCTGTACTTCAACTGAAACTGTTCCACTAGTAAAGTGTGGTTCAGATTCTAAATTACCATATGAGATTCTTTTCCAACTCAATTCCCTTGTTCATACCCAGAAACTTAGCCTTGCTTCAGTTGATGATGATTTGATTGACTTGTTAGGAAGCTTAGATGAAGAAACTAAAGCCATTGTTTTACAGAAATTGCACAAGCTGGATTCTACTTGTTATGAGCCCCTAAAATTTGTGAGGACTCAATTACATGTGCTAAGCAGCAGGGGTAGACGTCCTCCGCCTTCATCACAGAAAAGGTTGACAGATAATAACATAATGAGTTGTCATAGAGCGTTGATTACACCATCAAAGATTTATTGCCTTGGTCCTGAGCTTGAAACCTCAAATCATGTGGTAAAGCATTTTGCAGCATATGCTTCAGACTTCATGAGGGTTACTTTTGTTGAAGAGGATTGGACTAAGCTTCAACCTGATGCAGTATCATGCCGTGCGCAAAAGGGAATATCAGTATCAAGTCGTGTGCAAAAGGGAATATCTGTTTCAAGGTGTGTGCAAAAGGGAATATCAGTATCAAATTGTGTGCAAAATGGAATATTTCCAAAACCTTTTAGGACTGAAATATATAAGCGGATATTGACTATTCTCCGAGATGGGATTGTAATTGGTTCAAAAAAGTTTGAGTTTCTGGCCTTCTCTGCTAGTCAATTGCGATCAAGTTCTGTTTGGTTGTTTGCTTCTAACGACAATGTGAAAGCAGAAGATATCAGGGAATGGATGGGATGCTTCAACAATATCCGCAGTGTTTCTAAATGTGCAGCCAGAAT